CTTTCTATATATATATATATATATCATAATTTGACTTAAAAATTCCTTGACCAATCAAATTTTTTATGAAAATTTCTTTGTATAAACTTTAATGATGTAATGTATGCTCTCATGCTTCTTGTATTTTATAGCATAATTGCATCGTGAGCAAATTAAATTGTAAAACACAAAAGTCAATCAACTTTCAGTACAGCTGGTTCAAAGAACTTTTTATGCAAGTACACAAGCAATGGATAGTATATCGAAACGATCGTCTTTCATGGAATTACAACATTACACGATTTTTCGTCGCGATTTTGAAAAACGCTGTTCACGATTAAGTATTAGTAATGGACTTTATAATCGAGGAATTTATTGCAAACCGACTTTATTATAGTTATCACTTCACTTTGATCTTTCGCGCGCGCGTGTATCGATTAATATTTCTTTAAAATTAATTACATTTTGTTATTATCTTAATATCTAGTTATTATCTCTCTCTCAAATTAATCTTTTTTATAAAAACACGATATTAAAAATAAGATAATGCTAATTTATAAAAATGGTATAAAATGTGATCTGACTTGGATATCAATTTTTTAAAATATCTACTAAATTAATTATCTCTATTAAATTCTTATATGAGAATATTTTTTTTCAGCGTTTTATGCAATGAAATTTAACTGCTTTAATTTCACTGCTATCATGAGTTATTTTTCTTTATGTAAGGAACTTTCGCTATTTTCATCAAAGTCAATTAAGAAAATTCTTATAAAATTATGAGAATAATTTCGCAATAAATAAATTTTTACACTAATTTTTAAATGCGATATTCGATTTCTGGTGTATTATAAACATCTCGAGCTTGTTAAAGAAGTTCGACTTTCTTTCACCGCGACTGTGCCAGTCTCTTGTTGCAGCGTGGGCGTAGAGGCCCGGTTTTACGTGATTTCGTAACGACGATGGCAAACAGATTTCCAGTATCAAAAGACATTTCGTGAGGATCCTGAAGACCTTCAGAGTCCCCTACTATCCCACCTACTCTCTCTTTTTTTTTTTCTCTTGCCGGCTTCTACTTCATCTTCTCTCGAGTTCTCATGCATACGAAAATAACGTATGTAAAGATCATTTGGCGCTACTTTTTACAGTGCGTGGATTAAATAATTCAAGAGAAAGATTGTCACTTCGTGGAAGTGGAAAAAATATGACCCACAAAGTTGTTTCCTTGTTAGATGAATTAAAAAGATTAAGATTTTCTTAATTTTCTTCTTATTTGATAAATCAATTAGTTTTTCAATATTCTTAGAATGTGAGGTAGAGTTTTTGATATTCCAAAGATCAAGATTTTCAAAATTTTGTTTAGATTTAAAAAAATACATCGATTCCTCTATTTGCTTTTTCTATTCGCTCCTCTTTTTTTCACACGATATATCATCGACATTGTCATTCTCGTTCTTTTCGTTGTCGTCAATCGTGACGATACCTGCTCCAGCTCCGGTGGAGTCAGTACGGAAAGCGCGACTATGGCAAGTGGGCGTAAGAGCTGGGAGAGAGAACGTCGTCCTGTGTTCCATACATGGCTATGCTATGTGGAAACTAAGAGACACAGAGACGGACGGACCGACATGGACCGGGGGAGTCCCCACCGTGTGGATGGTGGAGGCGACGCGACGGTTTCTCGTCTCTCGAAGCGGTTGCCGAGCATGCTCTTGACGCATAGTGCTTCGAAGCACACATATCGTACGATCATCCTACTTACTATTATTCGCGCGTTCATGTCACCACGCTCAAGTTTCCTTCGAACATGCGATACCAATTTTCCATATGATTCGACAAAATATCCGACGAATTATATATATGTGTGACAGTGTATATCCTGGTGAACGCATTTCAAACGTCATCGTTTGATGACGTTGATGAATGCTGAGATCGTCAACTTTGTGCTATAAGAAGCGATTCCTCTGCAAGACTTGTGATGTACAACAATTATGCGGCGATATCGCGAGGGATAAGGTACTGAAGAGTCGAAATATTGCCAAACGCGACAGCCTAGGATATATAAGCAGGAAGAATTCGCAGACTCTTGAAGAAGGGATATGGTGACGAAAAACGTCTTAGGATCCTTGAAGATTATTCTTCATTAATATAGCACGATGCACTCGCCGCAAACACTTGACCGGCGTGGGTGCTACTGGATTTCTCCTCCGCTTTAAGACCGAGGTCAAGTGTGGGAGGGTGCAAGGGTTGGCAACACGTTCGAGGAGATTGACATATTATATATTAGAGGTACGTACTCTCTCTTTAGCGTTCTCTAACTATAATATAGTCGTAGAATATACATCTCTCTTTCCTGCGTGTATACAAGAATATTTTTATTTAAGTATGTTTACTTTTCTTTCTATAAAATAGACATACCTTTTATATTTTATATCCTTATGGGCTGTTAGACGCAATGCGAAAGAACATACAAATATTTGCAATATAAATACAGTTTTTGTACAAGAGCGAAACTTCTACGATACATATATTTATGTCCAAAAAAAATAATAATAATAAATTCATCTTTTCGCGAATTTTCTTTTATGGCTTCTTTTCTTCTACTCTTTTTCTGTCAAGGGAAATTCTTCTTTCAAATTTATCAAGATTCTCCATCATCTTCGTAGGATGTTGATACATCAATACTTCTTTCATAATTTCCATCGGATTTAATGGATTGGATTTAAGAGTAATTCTTCGATGTACCGATAACACCTTCTCCACAGCTTGTCGGATAAAATCCAGAGGAACCCCAATAGACATTTTGGCTAAACAGGAGACATCGATATTGCGATCAACGCCGTGATATTTCATTAATAGATTCTTATAGAACATGTAAAGTGTGTTGTAATCGGTAGTGGGTATCCTTATAAATTTATCGTGGAACTTGATGAAAGCGGCTGTCGCCTTATGAGGTTCTTCAGATAGCGAGAGAAATAATATCTGTTGAAAATGAATTTGTCATATTAATAATTAACATGATGAAAATCAGATTTTATTTATGTATCCTGAATATTCTTTCATTTGTATAATATTTTAACAATCTCATAATTGTTATATTTTAATTCAATCTTACACAAATTGAAAGTCGAGATAAAATATCTACTTTTCAAGTATCAATTTACCTCTTGTAATATTACGCCAGTGAGTAACAGTATCTGTCCGGAATTTTTAACACTCTAAATCCTACGTTAACTCGCCACCACCTACGTCCTCATACGGCAACCATATATACAGGTAGGAGGTGTTTCATTGATGAGCAACCTCGAGCGACCGAGATGAAAGATTTGAACGGCACAGGAGAAAGAGAGAGTTCAGTATATGTGGACTCGTCCGAGGTGGCGGCGATTCATTCATATTGAAGAAAGATTTCAAACAGGAATAACAAGAATTTTACAAAGTGGGCGTTGCTCGATTGCATATATGTTTTGATATAGTCCTCCAATTTAGGAGTGTCACTCCGCGTTCTCATAATATATATATTTTTCTCATAATATATATATATTTTTTTCTAATATCTAAAGATCTTTAACTTTATAGCGCAAAGCGCAAGCTGAGAGTACAATATTGACAGAGCAGTTGTGTTATTGCAGATAATTAATAAAAAGTAAATCAGACAGAATAAAAAGAAGAGAGTGAAAGAAAATTACTAAGAGAGTGAAAGAAAATTATTTGCCAATTTCTTTGTAGCTTTACCTGGTCACCTGGCTTAATGCCTCTCATTAGTCTAACAAAATGCTTGGTGAATCGCTTGGGTTGAAGATACTTCTCTTGTAGTGGAACTTTTTTCAGCCATGGTTTTTCGCCAGCATCGAGAAATATGATGGAAGGTGCATAAAAACGGGCCACTTTAGAAATCATATTCATGAGTCTGCGTTGGTTTTCCTGGCCTATATATTTATCAGCTAAAACAGACACTGATACGTCGAAAAGTAATGCGCCAATCTAGGAAAGTTCAAAGAGATCATAAATACATAGACGAGAGAAATATTAATACAGTCTACTTTAATTTATGATATTATCAATGTATCATTACAAAGAATTAAAAAACTATTGTATATCGTATTATATATGTATATAACACATTTTGAATATCTTTGAATGATTAACGGGAAAATACATAATCGAGACAAAGATCACCTCTGAGCAGATAACATTGGCAAGCGAGGTCTTTCCAGCTTCTGGTAATCCATAGATGCACACAGAACGCACGAGCGGTGCAAGTCGATGTGTCTCCTTGGAAATTAAAGGCAATATGCAATATTCTACGACGAGCTGCTTTACTTCTCCGAGTCGATGCTTGTGATCCCGGAGCTCGCGACGTGCCTCGTAATTTTGATAGGATAGATCACCAAACCAATCACGTAAAAAAATAGTTTGGTAATTCCTAATGATTTTAGCTTGTAAAAGCTCGCTAAAGAGATCTTCGATGGGCACATCCTTCAAAATGTCTTTTTTCTTTCTAATTCTGTCGATCTTTTCTGTCATAACAATTAATCAAAATTTTTTTTTAGATAATAAGTGCAAAAGTTTTAATTATTAAGTTGATATCGATTACTTTTATCCATTTTATCCATTGGAATCGTAAATTTCTGCTCGTCGTATTCATGATCTTTCAATAATGCTTTGTTTAATAAACGCAGTTCGGCCCTCATCAATTCATCTACTATCTCCCTCATTTCAAGCTGCAACTCATAACAAAGTTTTTCAGTGATTAAATCCATATATTCTTGTTCCAAATAA